TGTGTGTGTGTGTGTGTGTGTGCGTGTATGTGTGTGTGTGTGTTTAAAATGGTGTCTGGTCATGTTGTTCAGATTGGTTTTGAACTCTTGGGCTCAAATGATTCTCCTATCCCAGCTTTCTGAGAAAGTGGGAACGGGCCACTGTACCCAGCTTTGTGTTTGACTCCAACCATCTAGTGGTTGAATAACTATTGTTATGAATATGTAGGTATGAGGTGGCTAGTATAAAATGTTCTCTGATGAGTTTATAGTCAGCCCCTTAAATGAGAGTCAAATATATCGTTTAGACACGGAACTTATGTTGTAAACTATACAGTAGCTAAAAGAACTGAAATTATTTTCAGATGGAGAGGATACAATAATGTAGTTTATAGTTGTCAGCAGCAAGTCATTTACTCAGTAATAGAGTTAGTTGACTTGATAGAGAATAATTGGTAAAAGTTCATTTTGACCAAATGTGGGAGCTAGGAGTCCACCTTTAGGCCTCTTCTTAGGACTGAATAGGAGTAGCTGATGTACAGCCTGTAAAGGATGGGGTTATTTATGACGTTACAAATTACCAGTGTCTTTATTGACACACACCTTTCAGCAAGTTTTTATTTTTCAGTGTGGTTAATCAGGGAAATTTAGGTGTAATATTTTGACAACCAAGATGTGATATTTGGTTGTGAGAGTTTAAAAAAAAAAAAATGAAAAAAGAAAAATGGCTAATTTCTAGGTGGACTAGAAGATTTAGCAAGAATTATATTTGAAATTTGCTAAGTTTTTAATTATTATGTTTGATTATCTTTTGATTAGTTCCAAAGAGGTGTTTGAAAGCTCGAGAACATTTTGGGACAGTGAAAACACATCTAACGTCTTTAAAGACCAAGTTCCCTGCTGAACAGTATTACAGGTTTGTAAGAAAAATAGCCTTCTTTCGTAATATTAGGTTAGTGCTCGCTTCGGCAGCACATATACTAAAATTGTAATATTAGGTTAAACAACAGCTGAAGAAAGACTACATATATGGAATGATTACTTGATCATATCCCTGTGTGTAGAAGAAATGATAAAAAGAGTCACGTTGATAATGGTGGTGACAAAATTGATAATTTTATTTTTTTCCTCCATTTTACTTTGAAAAAAATTTTAAGGAATACCTGTGCAGTGAGAAAGTATCTGTTATTTGAAGCAAAATTTAGAATATCTTTTTACGATGCTCAAATTTCTTATGCAATCAAGTGAACTGTGCTTATGCTATACAGCAGTGCCGGTGAACCTTGTAGAGTTTTCAGTGATAACAAACAGCCTGCAGCTCCTGTACTGTAGGTTCACTGCCACCACTGCTATAAAGGTTATGAGATCAGAGGGCAGTATATGTATGGCATTGAGGTTGGTTTTTTGTGTGAGTGTGTGCTGGTGATTGAATCCAGGGCCTTGTACATCCTAAACAAGTGCTCTACCATTGAACTATATCCCCAGCCATTTTTAAACTTTTGAGACAGGGTCTTGCTAAGTTGTCCAGATTGGACTTGAACTTGGAATCCTTCTACTTCAGTCTCCTGAGTAGCTTGGATTACAGGCATGTACTGTGTCTGACTGACTGTCCAGTTGAGGTTCACTTCAAAGATTGAATTTTGCTGCTTAAGGACATACAGTATTTAGATAATATTTTAGATTGGTCAAACCCCTGGGTTTAAGTGATCCCTTTTCCTCAACCTGCTGCATTGTGATATTATAAGTACTCACCTCGCTGACCCTAAGTTTTAAAGTCTTTTGCTTAGTGATTGCAAATGATAATTCTTTGAATCACGATTTTCTTGATATCCTAAACTTGAAGTCTTAGAGATAAGTTAGATATTGAGGCTGAGATAAAATTATAGTTGGCATCAGTCTTCACTTGCAAAGTTTTATTTTTTTTCAGAGCAGTATCATTATTCTTACGGATTAAACTTAAGCACATTGCCCTGTCATTTGTAATCTTTAATTGTAAATTTTCATAATCATTGAAATTAGATCATGTTTTCTCATTATTACTGATAAATAAATGCCACCAGTTTGAAGTTGTAAAATTTTATGCCTGATCCATTTGATATATTTGAATATCTTGTTACTCTTAACATATTTTATGTAGTAGGATTTTACGTATGATTTTATTTGAAAGTATCCTATTTCCCAGCTATTTAGATAAGACTGTACTGAGCCCATCTTTGAAGGTCCCAAACCTCACAATGTAAATATACTTAATGTCCTGCAGGTTTCATGAGCACTGGAGGTTTGTGTTGCAGCGCTTGGTCTTCTTGGCAGCATTTGTTGTATATTTGGAAACAGAAACACTAGTGACCCGAGAAGCAGTGACAGAAATTCTTGGCAGTAAGTGTCTCCACTGGTGGGATCTGCAGAGTCAAGCACAATAGCTTACTTTTTGGTGGGAGAAGTTGTTTCTAGTACTTTCTATAAAATAAATGAAAACTAAATAGAAAGCTTTTTTCTTGGAAATACAAAATCTAAAATAATAGCTTGCTTATTTATATGTAGGTGCTTCTTTTTAACTTAAAGTTAAAAAAAAAAAAAAAATTCAAGCCAGGCATGGGCACATATCTGTAATCCTAGCACTTGGGTGGCTGAGACAGGAGGATCTCAGTGAGTTTGAGGCCAGCTTGGGCTACATTGTCCAAGGACAGCCTGAACTATATCGTGAGACCTTATCTTAAGCACTTCTCCCTCCCAAAATTCTAGTATACAGAAAAGTTGAAAGAATTATATAACAAACCCTATTTGTAGTTACTTAGAGTCACTACTTGTTAACAATTGGCTAGTTTTCTCACTTTTCATGTGTGTCTGTATAATTATTTGGAAAAGAGTGCAGATTTCATGATATCTTTTATAACTGCTTTAGTATGTATCTTCTAAACAAGAAGGTTGTTTTCTGCCATAACTAGGTACTGTACTTTCTGGTATTAGTTTTTGAGAGGACTGGAAGAAAAAATTGAATTTTGGTTAAATGTTTGCAAAATCTTCAGTGAGGCCTACTTGCCAAAGCTGTGAACATCTTATGAAGCCAGTAAAGATTTATCTTTTCTTCACTTACTTTGAAAGAAATTTTATTTGTATGTGTGTGCATGCATGTGTATTTGTATTTGTATAATTATGTATTAATATTCTTAGTCTTAATTTGCATTAACATCATGACTTTGCCCTTATTGTGATATTTTTTAGTTGAACCAGATCGAGAGAAAGGTTTTCATCTGGATGTAGAAGATTATCTCTCAGGAGTTTTAATTCTTGCTAGTGAACTGGTAAGACACTCAGTAATTTGCTGCTTGCTTTCTTAATCTTCATGCTTTGCCCTCAGTTTTTTAAATGGTACTATAACTTAGGACTCATCATTTTTTTTTTTTTTTTTTTTTTGGGTACCGGGGATCAAACTCAGGAGCTTTCACTTGCAAGGCAGGTGGCAGAACCACTGATCTAAGTCCCTGGCCCCTCAATTCTTTTTTAAACCATCTGTCAATCATGTCATTTAGTCCTTGACTACACTGTGTTACTAGGCATCAAAGAAATGCCAGTTGAAACAATGAGACAGCTGTGCACATTTACTATTATGTAATTTTATTGGTGGTACTGGGGATTGAACTCAGGGGCTTGCATATGCTAAGCATGTGTTCTACCGTGGAGTTACATACATCCCAGTCCTTTGTAATTTTTAAAAAAATTTTGAGGCAGAGTGTAAGTCACTGTGTTAGATTTCCTGTTGAAACTTAAAGGAGGAGAGGTTTATTTTGACTCATAGTTTCACTGGGCTCAGTCCATGGTTGAACAGCTCCGAAGCAGAAACAGCATGATGGAAGGGCGGCCTGGTAGAGGAAAGCTGTTCCCATCATGACAGCCAGGAGGCAGAGAGAGAAGGAGGAACCAGGAGCAAGCTTATGTCCTTCCATGTCTGCCCCCCGGTGACTAATCTCTTTGAGCCGGCTCCTGCCTTTGGACAGCACAGTCAGCTCTGAACGCAACGATGGACTGATTCACTGATGAGTATCAGTGCCCCATGACTGTGTCACCTTTCAAGAGGTGACTGAACTGGAGGCGTTTTAGATCTAAACCATAAGCCTGCCCTGGCGAGGCTTGAGCTTGTCTTCCTGCCTTAGTCTCCCAAGTAGCTGGAATTAAATGCATGCACCCCTGTGCCTAACCTGTGAATTTTGAAAAGTTGATAATACCTCTTCCTGTTAATGGACTGACAAGGCATGTATTCCTGATAACTGTTAATTCATGTAATGATTTTAGAGAACAGGGAATTTATATAATTGTATAAGATGCTGTCATCCCTTTTAAGTTGTTCTTATTCTTCATTCCCTTGACCTCTCTCAGGAAATTTTTCTCTAAAAATAATTTTGCAGAATAAAGGGGCTCATAGAGTCTTGAGCAGTTACGACAGGCTGAAGCTGCTGAAGTGAGCATATTGTGTTGTCTGGCTCTTTACAAAGTGCGCCTCACCTTGCTCAGAAGGAAAGCCATTCAGGGCTGGTGTAGTGCTTCTTTGGTTTTTGGTCCTGTATTCTTCTACCTTGTAGGTTCTTTCTCATGCTCATAAACCTACAGTGGCTTTGGTGATTTGTGTCTTCATTCCAGACAGTAGTAGAGGAATTAGGTAAAAGGGTGGACCCTCACTTTAAGGACGTTTGTCTCAAGCTCTGTACACAACTCATACTTGACATTGTAGTGCCTTGGGGGTGGGGATGCACCTGAGTGATGGAGTGCTTGCTTAAGCACGTGCAAGGCCCTGAGTCCCATCTCCAGTTCTGCAATTCCCCACCGCCACCCCCACCCCGAATTCTAGTGCCTTGTTGGTAGGGGAGGAGGAAGTGAAGTCTATTGGGGCAGGCATGGAGGTGGTGAAAATTTGAGGGATTCGGACTGAGGAAGGAAGGGAAAAGTGTTACTGGGGCCCCCTGGCAGTCTGTACCACTTGCCTAAGGCTTGTTGGAGACACCTGCCTGGTAATCTGAATTCTAACCCCTTACTAGTATAAGTGGTTAGTGTGAGGTATCTTTGATGCCACGTGTGCTGTGAATGGGTGGGTAGATTAGGGACGCTTCGGCGGGGGCAGTTTTATGGTGAAGAGGAATTTTGAGTCAGGTCTTGAAATTAGTCTTATTACCGTGTAAGACAGTGTTGGACTGAATTAGATTTATCTTTTTTTCCTGTCTCTTAGTGATTTTAAGTGACCAGAGTTGCAGCTCAGGAGGTGGGCTCTAGAGACATCATTTCTAGATTTGAAGTTAGAGCTGTTGTGATTACCCTGACATTTCTTTCTTCTGTACATTAACTGATGAGCTGTAAAGTTGACAGTAGTTAATTTAGCACACTTTGTGGTACAGTACCAGTTTAAGACATTAGAGAAATTTTAGAAGACATTAATTATACTAAACCTGTATTTGGAGGAAACGTCTCCTTTCACATGAGAGTCTTCTCAGAGAAGCTTCTGTACTGTCTGTTTATATCTGCCTGAGCTGAGAACATCAGAGTTGCTGTCACAGCCTGAGGATCTAGTTGTTGTGACTCGGGAGGATGCTAAGGAGGAGCCCTGTTGTAATGCCCATTTTTCTTTTCCTGTGCAGTCGAGGCTGTCTGTCAATAGTGTGACTGCTGGAGACTACTCCCGGCCCTTGCACATCTCCACCTTCATCAATGAGCTGGATTCCGGTTTCCGCCTTCTCAACCTGAAAAACGACTCTCTGAGGAAGCGCTATGATGGCTTAAAGTATGATGTGAAGAAAGTAGAGGAGGTGGTTTATGATCTCTCCATCCGTGGCTTCAATAAGGAAACGGCAGCAGCTTGTGTTGAAAAATAGGAGGCTCTCCTTGCTCCTGGCCTTGCTGACCCAGCAGTTAGTTGTCAGGGATGGGTGAGCACAGAGTGCCTCTTTCCGTAGTTAGGATGCCCAGTTGCTAAGCACTGTGCTTTATTTTCTTAATCAGTTGTGTGCTGTGAGTACCAAAACACTTTTTTGGGAGTTAGAACAATTAGCCTTTACATGGAGAGAGTTTTCATTGTTGTTTTGGTGAATTTGCTCTGTATTTTGTTGTATTTCATTTCTGTCAAAAAATGTAAATGTCAGTTTCTTGGTAATGTCCTTTTCTTGCTTACTCTGACTGTTGATGTACGGATTGAGAAGTTACTGTGTCGTTTGTGTTTTTTCCAGAAGTGACACTTAATATTTTCTGTATTGATGTTGGCCATCCATTTCCAGGTATAGCCTGGATGTAGTATAAAAATAGGTAATTAAAAAGGATGGTTGACAAGCAGAGATCATACTTTTCTCTTCCTTACCTTAAGCTCTGTGAGTGAATCAGATGTTGAATTTTTTTACCAAGGGAGTTATAGCACTGGGTTCTTTCTCACTGCATTCAAAATATAAAAGATTAAATTGCAAAGCCAAGCTCCAGCAGATTGTTTTGGAAGATTTTTGTATTAAGGGATTTAGTAGCATCCTAATTGGTTATGCTAGGTGGGGAGTTGGGCTTAATATTCTAAAACACTTCTGCTTTCTGATGTTGCCTTAACATTCTGCTATTGCAGCAATTAAAATAGTCTTCGCACACATTTTGAACTGACACTTAATGTGATATATTTTTAATCTATGAAACCTTTTCCCTAGCAGCCAGCTAGACTAGTTGGTCTGGGACTATAACGCTATCCACATGTGTTAATTAGCAGTACCTCAGTGAGTATGTTCTTAAAGAGTAATGTTATGCTTGGTCTTGAAGAAAGATAAAATATCAGCTTAAAAATTTTTTTAGTGCCCCAGTTTCCTCCCCACTTTCAGGTAATAATGAGTCTTTGCCATGTAATTCTTGCTGTTGAATTGAAATTCCTGAAATGGTGACTTAGGCTGGGTTGTAGCTCAGTGGTAGAGCACTTATATAACATGCCCTCCCATACAGTGGTGACTTAATTCACAGTTGTTTGGCACTCTCTGAAGGAAGTTGCTATTGTTTCCAGAATAATGTGAAGTATTCAAAAATATTAGCTGTTTCTTGCCTGATACCAGTTTGGGCTTCCTCTCTGTGCGATGCGATGTTTGGCATTGCTTTCACAGCTTTGATCATACCAAGTTAAGGAATGACTGCATTTTTTTTAACATGAGGAAACAAGTGCAAATAAGGCATGAGTAGTTGTGCACTTTTGGCTTTTAGAACAGTTTTTTTGAGAGTTCTTTTTGCAGAGTTTGTAGAAAGACAAAATACTAGGTTGTTAAAAATGCTTAGGATAGTTGCTTAAAATGTGCAGTAATAGCATTGCCTGGATTGAGCATAAAAGGATTTTTTTTTCATGATTTGTTACAAAGTTCTTACCAGAAATTGTGGATTTTGGGGGTGGGGAGGATTGGTGGATTGGGCCTTGCTCTGTTGTCCAGACTGTTCTTAAACTCCTTGGCTGAAGCCACCTCCTCTCTCACCTTACAAGCAACTGGGACTACAGAGGAGTACCACCTTGCCTGGCTCTTGAAATTTCAGTTTTAACCCACTTTTAAGTGGAATGTGTTCTGGTCTTCAGTTCTGTTTGAGAATTTAGAAGTGTCCTGTTTGTAATAATTCAGTTATATTCACTGCTGGCTTGTAAAGCAATAAAATACTCTTTTTTTTTTTTTTTTTTTTTTTCAATAAAATTCTTTTTTTTTTTTTTTTTTTTTTTGTCTTTGTAATTTAGTGTGCTACTGTGAAAACTCTTCTGTGTGGAGAATAAATTTGACTTTTTTTGAGGTTAAAAACACAGGAATGATAAGCGTGTGTTGCTGTGTAATGATTAACCAAAAGATGCCAGCCATTCCTTAGTGCTTTATTATAAACTGCAGGTGACATTTGCGTGATTTGCCTTGGTGGGACTTCACTTGAATGGGGAAGTATTTCAGCTGAAGGTGTTGGGATACCACACTGTTTCACACAGCAGAATTAACTTTTCCTTCTGGGGCCCCACAGATTGACCTGTGGGGCTTGCACATGGTGAACATGTGCTCTGCCCTGAGCTATACTCCTAGTCCCCAGAATTACTTTTACCAGTTTTAGAAAATCAGATAGGTTAGAAAATGTAGACATGAAGGAAGGATTGTTTTCTCATGGATGTATAAAAAGAAAATGACATATTTGGTAGGATTTGTTCTGTGTTAAGTCATTAAATGAGTAGTTAAGAATAGTTTCATCAGTGTTTTGAGACCTTTGCTTAAACAGGTGGCTGAAGGCATGAGACACCATGAATGTTGTGTACTCACAGATTACACCTTTCTTGTTTCTTCTGGACTGAACTGTTCGTTTTGAATAGAGCATCAATTGCCTTGTCTGAAACTAAAGACATTTCGTGAGCCTGAAATAAATGTTCTTAATATACAGTATAAAAGACATTGAACAAGCAGAAATGAAGAATCTAGGCAGAAACAACAGCAACAAATTATTAAGGCAGGTACAATTGCCAGGGCTGGCTCCTTGAGGATGGAGCCAGGAGAGGTGACGAGGTGCCCACCACATTTCTTGCTCGGGTGAATAAGTGGGTGCTATTGACTGGGGTGGGAAACGTAGGAGGAAGTGTGGCTGGGCAGTGGCTGGGCAGCTGAAGCCTTTGCTTGTGGATACGTTGGATTTGTGGTGCTTATGGAGTATGTAGGTGAGAAAATCTTAAGTGGTAAATTCTCTCAGGAGACTAAAAGATGAGTCACAAGCTGCGGACAAACTGGTCAATAGCATGGTTTAACCACATAGGTAGAGGGTACAGGGAATAAAGAACTGGAGGTAGAGAAAGGGTCACAGAGGTTGGCAGAGAAAGCGAACAGTGAAGAGTGGCTTGTCACAGAGACCAGGAGAAGAAAGGGTCTTAGGAGGATTGTGGGTGAGAGATTTAAAATATGTAATTCCACAGCCCGAGAGCCCAGGACTATCTGTCCAGCTTGGACACTGGCTTGTCGGTGTGTGTTGCAGATTAGCTGGCGATACGCTTCATGGTTGCCCTTATCTAGGCTCAACCATTGCCAGTCGTAGTGTGAGGGGGAAAACTGGAGATTTTTACACAACATCCTCTGGTTTGGAAGTGACATGTCGCTTTCATAATTCATTGCACAGACAACACGTGGCCCTGCTACACACAGTAAAAATGTTAATTTTATGTTCAGCTTTTTAAGAAACGGAGTTTCCCAAAGTTACTTCACCATTTTTTTATTCCTATGGTGATGTATGAGGATTCCTTTCTATGAATTAAATTGAAGGCAGTAATAGACAACGTGTTATAATAACAGTATGTAATTGCTAAATTAACTTGTGAATGGTTGCTATAGGAATTTAGGATACACAGTATAGCTTGATCTAGTTCATAAATGAAGTAGGATTTAGAAAGAAGAAGGTCATCGTGGGTGGGTAGAATATTGAAACCAAAGCAGAAATATATCCCATTTAATGAGTGTGGGGATATCACCTGTTCTAGTGGATGGAAAAATCTGGCAAGGTCTGATGGTTATATTTAGAGAAGCTTAAATTGGGAAGTTAAGGAGTTTGGATTTCAAGTGATAGGCTTTGGCGGACATAGTTTTTTGAAGCAGGGAGGGAGCAGCTTTGGAGCCAGACAGCCCTCGTTTGGAGTCCTGCTTCTAACGGTAACGGGGAGAGACCCTAGTCAGGGAGATGTGTGAGCAAGCTGTTGCTCTTGGGTAACAAGGGTCAGGTTGTGTGTAGCTGGTGATGGGTGCAGCAGAGTAAGGTACAGATAAAGTGCACTGCAAAGAAAAACTTGAAACAGCCTGCTGACTGGTGGAGTCAGAATCATGGGAGGGGTTGGGAGGAGTCAGAGATACTTAGGCTTCGGAAAGAATACACACAGAGCAGTTGCATCTAAATTCTGGGGTAAGAGAAGTCCCGTCTTGCAGTTGTATCGGCTGTATAGCGGGACATGACACAGACCACCGTACTTTTTGGTCCAGAATTTTAGGAGCCTGGAGTTGAGGGAGTCCTTTAGATAGAGTGGATATATGGGCCTGTGACTGCAAAGGAAGGGACTGAGGGCCAGAAAGAGCGGGGCATGTGCTCGTAATCAGTGCAGGGAGTCCCCGGATGTGATTGAAGATGTCAAGAAGGTGGAAAGGAGGCAGAGGCCTGTGTCCAGGTCTGCTTAAGCAGCAGCGGGGACCCAAATGGGACACGCATGGTACTTTCTTCTTTTGCACGGGAAATCTTATTGTAAGGTTTTGATAGAAGGAATAGATCTGTGAAAATGTAGAGTCCCCAAAGAAGAATGGTGCTCAAAAGAAAATATAGAGGAAGTGTTTCACTCAGATCCTGCCATCGGTTACTCATGCTCATCTGGTGTCATTTAATATTAATTAACATTGACCCACTGCCATCTGCTCTGGTTAGAGTTCTGCGTTCATCCATGGCTGTTGTGTGCTCCGCGACAGAATGTCGGCCTTGCTGCCGGGGCCTGCCAGCTGGACCTGCCAGGCAGACCGGCTCAGGGGGTGGAGAGATGGCCGCTTCAGCTTCCTCTGCCATGGCCCTGTCAGAACTTTCAGTGATGAGGACTTTGCTCACCCTGACAATGGCAATGAAGCCAAAATATTCTTCACAGTTGGGAAAAACAAAGAGCAGGGTATTCGTTTCTGCTTTCTGGAGGAAGCCCTCAGTACTGTTATAATTCATTAAAGGGGTTGTTTTGGGAGCACAGTCTATGCACTGGGCCCTTCTGTCTGATAAACTATTAGACCCAGACCAGTATAGCTGAGAGACTCAGTCAATCTTTATTAAAAAACGAGTGATCCGTTTAGCTTGTTTCTTGTATCCCCAGGTTGACTTTGAAGTCAGCAGGAGTGGGTTGAAGTTCTCTTTCTTCAACCGTGCCTCAGAGAGTTCAGCCATCAGTGTTCAGGGGACAGTTGCTGGCGTGGGCACCAGTGGGGAGCCAGCAGGAGAATTGTCCAGGAGGAGAAGGGTTGTGTGGCCTAGTGCCTTTCCCCGCCTTACAGTGCGGTCACACCCCTTAAGGATGAGGTGTAGCTTTCTATTGTTTAACGAAAGTGGCCAAATGGGTGCCTGGGTTCTTGGCAGCCTGGCCTGTGTCATCAAGCATCCCACGCTTTCCTTGAACTGAACCCTGGAAATACTTACCCAGATACCTTCACTGAGGAGGAAAAAAGAAAATGGTTGGCACAGGCAGTTTTGAGCTGACTCCAGGAGCATAGCTTTCATTTCAGTCCATTTAAAAAGTGTACTTTGGAGGGAGGGAGGGCATAGTTGATAGTGCTTGATGCTCTACCAAAGAGGTTGTAGAGGTAGTAGAGACACTTTTTAGAGGATATTTAAATGTGTATATCGTTATGTTATGGTAGATTATCTTTATTTTTAGATTTTATTTTATTGGTACTGGGGCTCAAACTCAGGACCTTGCCCTTGCGAGGCAGGCGCCACCACCACTGAGCTAAATCCCCAAGCCCATCTATTTTTGGCAAGTGTTTAATGAAAAATTATTGAATCAGAAAGTTGGGAAATTATAAAATTTAAAGATGCGTTTTTGGCATTGTTAATTATAATGCCGATTTTTAAAAACTTTTTGAGATACTTGTGGATTGTATTCCTTTTGAATTGAATATTTTCATCTGCTCAGGTGAGTGCCCTTTCTCTATGAAGATCTCCTGCTAAGGTTAAGGGGATACAGTGACTTGGTTTCCAGCAAGCTCCTTAGAGATACTCGGTTCAACAGTCAGTCTGCGTCTCCCCCTTTGCAGCACATGTACACTGCCCTTTATATATAAAGCTGGCATTATTGAAGTAAATGTACAATTGGATATTCCTATGAAGTTAGAAAAAAAGTGCTACTTTCTGATGTATCAAAGCATTTTTGTGTTTATCCCAGTGTTTGACTTGAAGCTGTGCTTTGACCTGCTGTGCATGACCCATTCTATGTGGCCACCAGATAGATGGAGGTGCCACACTTCTTAGCCCATCCTCTCCTTTGCGGTCACCTGCACATAGGCTGATCAGAGTGTTTCATAGCCTCAAACTCACGGCAGTCCTCCTGCCTTAGCCTGCTGAGTACTGGGATTACAGATGTGTGCCAATATGCCTGGCATCCTGTCCTTGAATTCTGACTACTTCATGAGTCTTCAGAGCCAGGAGTTCAAAACTGATCCTGGGCTACAGAAGTGGCACATACCTGTAATCCCAGCTACTCAGCAGGCTGCAGCAGGAAGAGTTCAAGTTCAACTGCAGCCTAGTTCTCTTTTTTTGGGGGGGGGCTACCGGGGATCAAACTCTGATCCTTGTGCTTGTGAGGCAGTCGGTGGAACCATTGAGCTAAATCCCCAGCCCCTTACCAGTTTTCTCGTTTTGGGCTCTTGTCCTGAGGGCAAGGGAAGAGAAGCTTTCAGGACAGCACTGGGAAAACGGAACTTGGTGTGGTTTATTAGAGAAAAAATAAAGCTATCCCTAGTTGAGTGTGGGTTCTGAGGGAGGACACCGAAGTAGCCAAACCTAGAGGCTTATATGTAGCGTTTGGCTTGAGAAAGGGGCAGGAAGATGTGTAAAAATGAAGGTGTGAAGTTGCCACTGAACAGCTGCTTGTCAGCAGATTGTATTAGTCTTTTCTCTTTTGTGCTCCAATTAGCCC